CCTTGTCTGAAGGAATTGGCCTTCACCATGCGTAAAAACATTTTAGAGACTTCAGCTGTTTTTTCTCTTGGTTTTTAGTTAGATGGTTGTATATATTCCTGTATCTAGTAATATTTTATTATGTGACAGATATTGTATATAAAATAAATGTAGAGGCTCTAGATGATGTTATCTCCCACTAGAGCATTCACCCTTTGCCTGTATTGAAGCCTGGTCACTCAATTCAATCAGAGGTTGTGCTAGGTTAGGACTGGCTTCCATTTTAATAAGATTCGATCTACTTTTAATTCATTTCTGTTTCTAGGGCATGGCCTTCTTGTGTTTCCAGCTGACAGGCTGGTGGGTCTATGTCTCTTCAGCCCCAAAGGACTGGAGGAAAGTCAGTTCTGCCCCTCCAGGGTTGTTACAGCCCAACCGGGTCCTTTGCCTATCACCTGGTAAAATCCAATGTACTGAGACAGCAGGTGTTGCAGTGGAGAAAGAGTTTAATTTCACAAGGCACCAGGTGAGGAGATGGGAGTAATTTCTCAAATCCATCTCCCTAAGAATTTTGGGGCTTAAGTTTTTAAAGGTGTTTTGGTGAACAACGGGCTAGGGAATTAGGTCTGCTGATTGGCTGGGGATGAACTCATAGGGTTGGGAAGCAGAAATCATCTTTTCAGCTGGGAAATTTCCTGGGTAGGGGGTCTCAAGGCTTCTTGGATCCATTCCCATGCATGTCTACAGGTCTGGTTGACATCAGTGGGGCCTCCGAATGCAGAGTCTGAAATATATCTCAAAGATCAGTCTTGGGCTTTACAATAGCAATGCTGTCTATAGAAGCGGTTAGGGAAGTCAGAAATCTTGCACCTTCCAAGAAGGATACATGGCACTTAAGCAGTAAGCAGTTACAGCAGTAAGGAAGTTAGGGAACAGTGGCTTGTTAATTTCTGGCTATATTTATGCGTTTATAGAAATCAGACTTTTTATCAGTATTTTTACCTTATGGCTTTCCATTAGTTTAATATAGGCAGTTTCAATGTGTTCTCTCATAGAGTAACAAACTATTCAAAGTCTCATCCAGGTACCACATTGGCTCAAAACCCAGTAATATGTCATCTGAATCAGGTCAGATGCAGATGAGGCTCCTCAGGTGCAATTCCTTGGGTACAGATTGTCAAATACATTTCCTTACCTTTGAATTAAAGAGACAAGTTATCTGCTGGCCCCCTGCCCTTCTTCCTCCTCCTCCCATCCCCCCCACATTATAAAATGATGATAGATGAAAAGGATGCAGGAGATAGTTGCATTCAGAAAGGGGTGGGGCACACAGTAGCCACTGTCTATAGAAATTCCGATATCTACCAATTGTCACTGCTCCAGAATAAAAAAAAAATGCACTTTGATTAAGACCCAGTTTTGCTCCCCTGGGCTGTGATTCTTCCCTCTGAGTCATCCTTCCTTTTCCATTAGAAATAGCCTGTGTGTGCCTCTCAGTAGCATCCTTAGTGTTCTCAACCTTATTCCATACAAGGCTGGAGGTCATAAGGCTCTTTTCATTTTGTGCTTTCTTTAAAACTAAGCTAGTACTATTCCTTTATAAACTTTGTGAGGGCTTTTATATAAATTTGTAATCAGTGCTGTTAGATAAAAGCCACACCCACATCTCTTTCCAAGACAAATCCTTCTGTAGCTGGGTCTACCTTCGAGGCTGCTGTGAGGCAACACACTTAAGAGTCTTAAAAGCCTTCGTGTTTGACTCAGAAGCTCTACAAAGCACAGTCTTAAGGTGGTTAGAAGCCTTGCTAGGCACACTTAGAGTAGACCCTTCTGAAGGCTTCACAAAGGGTCTTACAGCCACACCCTGAAGATCTTTACCCTAAGACCATGCTTTGATGGTTGTAATCTGAACTTTACCTTTGTCCTGAAGTCATTCTTCTTTGTGAGTCTTTTGTTGGGAGGGTCTAAGGATGAGAAAGTTTTACTTTTGAACCCAGTAGGTCCTTTCATATTTCCTCTAAATTTGGCTCAAAAAGTTAGTTTCATTGTTAGTTTATGTCTCTCTTGTATTTTAACATAGGCAGCTAGAAGAAGTTAGCTGTCCATTTCTACATTCTGCCTGGACATTTCTTCAGCTAAATCCATGAGTTCTTTGGGTACCCTTTCTATTTTCCATGTAAACCTCTGGTGACAGTGTTACCTGGTCTATTTCTGGCATGACATTATAAGGGTCCCCTTTTCTTTGACCTCCACTAATATTTTCCTCACTCTTCTGCAAGTCTTCACAGTCACTTTGAGGCCCTTCTAAGCACCACCTGGCTCCAAAGCCAAAGCTACATGTTTTGGGTTATTTTTATATCAACTGAAGAAA